ACAAAGTTGTGATATCTGAGATTGGAGACAGGAATTTTAAAAAGGATCTTGGACGCCAATCTAATCATGGGGAAACTGTAAGACAAATCCTAATTGAAGAACATTCTACAAAGTATTTGACTTGTAATTTTTCAAACTGTCCGTCAACCAAAAACAAAATCTGAGAAATGCTTTACAATGGAAAATAATTTAAGGAGATATGACTACTAAATGCAATGTGCAATTTCCAGAAGAAAACAAAAGGCAGCTATGAACCGTAACACTTCTTTATTCATTGGCTTCACTTACATACGGAGCAACTGAAAATGTCATGACTTGGGGATCAAGGGAATCAAGATATCAGTTTAAAGTGATATCTTTACTGTTTAGCACTTTAAAGAGGTCCTTAACAGCATAATTTCCCAATGCAATATGTCTTTTGGCTTCCTGGCTGATATTTGATTGTGGATCGAGGAAAAACTAAATCCATGAAAACATCAATCTTTTCTCCATTTGGCATGATGTGGCTTTCTTGTTTTAGTTGTATTGGGTGGTTGGGTTTTTTTTCTTCCCATGTAGGGGTATAATCCATACTGAAGGGTACAGCCTCTGATCTTTACCCTCTGTGGCATCTGCATAACAGATACTGTGGCTGATGAGTCTTCCTCCAATCCTGATGCTGCATTTTTCCTCATATAGTCAAGCTTCTTGACTTACTGGCTCAGCATAGAGTTTGAATAGGCAAGGTGAAAGGATATATCCTTGATGCCCACCTTTCCTGATTTTAAACCAGGCAGTAACACTGTGTTCTGCCGAAATCACTACTAATAGTCCACACCCAGGTTAAGCATGAGCAATAAAGTGTTCTACAATTTCCTTTCTTCTCAATGACAACCCATGGACTGCCAAAAGAACAAAGTGGAGAAAGTGAAGCTAAAGCGCTCCTTGAAGGCAAAGTTGTTGAAGCCTCATCTCACATACTTCAGGCAAGTTGCTAGGATAGGTTATTCCTAGGAGAGGGGCATCATGCTTCGAAAGGCAAAGAAATAACAAAAGAGAGGGAGACCGTCTGCCAGGTACACTGACAGAATGACTGCCGCAATGGGCTCTTATGTGTCAAGAAGAGGGAGGATGGCACAGAATAGGACAGGGTTCAGATCTGTTGTTCATAGGGTTGCTATACTTGACTCAACGGCATCTAACAACAATGATATCCATAAGTTATTATGAGACACAGGATTGACCATCTTTTTGAACTGAAGTAAACATCCTTCTAGTTTCTCTAATTTCAGCTAGGATCTATTTGACACCAACAATGATATTCCCTTTTCCATGTGACATCTTCTGAATCTAGCTTGAACTTCTCGCCCTTTTTGTAAATGTACGGTTCCAGTCATCTTTTAATAATCCTCTGTAAAACGTTAATACTGTTTGATAATTTCTATGTCATAATGGATGTTTTAAAAATGAGCAAAAACATAATCTCTTCCAAATAGCTGGCCAGGTAGCTGTCTTCCAAATTTCTTAGCATAGTCGAGTGAGCACCTCCAGGGCTGCATCTGCTTGCTGGAGCATGTGAACTGGTGTCTCATCAATTCTGGGACCTTATTTTTTTGCTAATGCTTCAGTGCAGCTGGACCTTCTTCTTTATCATGGATTCTTGATCATACTACTTCCTGAAATGTTTCAGTGTCAAGCAATGCTTTATAGAACAGTGACTGTGTATACCGTCCATCTTCTTTTGATACTTTCTGCATCATTCAAGATTTTCCCCTCAGAATCATTTTGTATTGCAACTCAAGGATTAGGTCTCCCATTTGTTTCCCTCTAAGATTGCAGTTCAGAACCTCTGTACTGCAGACACCAGAAAACAAGGCTAACAGACAGGGATATCTGCTATACACATGGTGTGGGACCCAGGGAGGCCAGGACAGAGTAGTAGCAGCACCAGTATCCACAGCAGCTGAAAAGTTTGCAAAACTGAACTGAAACACCAAATACGGTTGGCAAAAGACACAAAAACCATGAGTATAGTGCAGAACAGGACAAAGTTTTGATCAACTGTTCATAGTATCACTATGTTGTTTGCTGTTGTGGGCCATCTGGTTAGAACCAACCCACAGCTGATCCTCCAGCAGGTTTTCAGAGGCGGTTAATCACACAGGGGGAAAGTGCACATCCTTCTCCCGAAGAGCATCTGGAAGATTCGAACTAGGAGCTTTTGGGAATTGCAGGGCAGATTCTTACCACTAGGCCATGAGTCGCAGTCAACTTAACTGCACAACAACACAACCAAATAAAAAATCCAGTCATGTTAAGTTGATTCCAAGTCACCACAAAGAGTTTCCAAAGATGTCTGCCACAACTTCCTCCTGCTATGTAGTTGGTGAATTCAAACTGACAACCTTCTGGCTATCAGTCAAGCATATAATTACTGTGTCATCAGATTTTATCAGATTAACTCTTAAAGTCAACAAATACTCAGTACCTATTATATGTCAAATACTTTACTAGGGCGTATTGGGGACACTGGCTAAATAAGATTCCTTTCCCTATAGAGTTTAAAGAGACAAAATAAATATAGTAGTAGTTGTGTTTCATGAAGTTGAAATCGACCCATAGCTGACTCTCTAGCAGGCTTTCAGAAGCAGTAAATCAAATAGCAGGGGAGCATCCATTCTTCTCTCACTGAATAACTAGTGGATTCGAACAGTCTGTCTTTGGGATTGCAGCCCAAGTACTTACCATGAGGCCACCAGTTATATATATATATGTGTTAAGTGGTAATAAATACTACAGAGAAAAATGAACCAAGGGAAGGGACATGTAATATGAGGAGAGGTGAGTTTTTTAAAAAATAAGATTATTAAAGAAAAAAATTTCTTGGTTCACTTTCAGTTGATGAGGCAACATAAAAAACTCCCAACCACCCCACAATGAACCTCTGAACCTGACCTTTCTAAGCTCATACATTCTATCACCTTGTTCCATGTGTCACCACTTACATTTAAAAAATCATGAATATAGGATTTAACATAACCCCCTCTTTTTTCTTTAATACTGAGACAAAGCATATGCTGTCATCTCATGAAATAAGTAATTTCCTAGTCTTGTCTTAGGAGAAAAATGATAAAAATAAAAACTAGCAGTTTTTCTCCAGACAAAGGATCTCTAAATGTGATATTTTTATATAATACAGAAAAGAACTAAAATTAGTTGTCTTTTTTTTCTCCTGTTCCAATATATTTAGGGCACTCTGGTGGCCTATTGGTTAGAAGCTGTATTGCAATCCCAAATGCACGTGGTTCAAATCTACCAGCTGCTCCAAGGAGAAGGCTCTCCTCCCCTGTGATGTACTGCCTCTGAAGACCCGCTAGGGGGTCTGCTTTGGATTGTTTCCAACTTTACAGCACACAACACACACACCTCCCAATATATATATATGGTCTCGAGTTTGTTACTGGACTGAGTATACATCACAAAAAGTTAGGGACTTTTAGTAACTTCTTCAAAACGGAAGATTTTTGAAAGGAAAAGAAAATCATATTAAGTATTACCACAATAGTTATTGTAACTATCATATTTTAGATGTGACCGGTATACTGTACTAGCCATTTTATATATTGGCTTTAACAAAATTCCTTTACCATTTGTATTTACCATTTGATTAAAGTCAATAATTTTTTATGGTTCAAACGAATACATTATTATCTGTTACTTTCTCTTTTTTTTGTCTTCCAATTATAATTCCATCAGATTCACTTATTTTATTGCATGTGTGCTAAGGATTGCTTTTTTGGCTTCCCTTTGCCATCCCTGCTAATCTTCCAAGACTGAAATCTGTGTCCTTTCCTTAGTCATTTATATTAGATGTTATAGCAGAATTGGGTTTCTGTAACTGATTTCTGCTCCTCAGCATCATCTGTTCTAGCTTTACCCATGTTGCGCAGTATTTCAAACTCTTGATCAGTGTTTAGAGATGAATACTATCCAATTGTGTGAATTACTTCCCTGACAGAGGAACATGTGTGCACACTGGACTACTAATGGAAAAGTTTGTGGTTTAAACACACCAGTAGCTAAAGGGAGAGAGATGAGGCAGTCGGCTCCTATAAAATAGATTTCGGGTCTCAGAAACCCGGAGGTGTAGTTCTACTCTGCTTTACAGAGTCAGTACAAATGTCTTCAGGACAGAGGGTGGGTATATTTCTCCTGTTCTATTATCTCAGGCAAATACTTTGTTTTTTTAAAAAGGAAACTTTGTTAAAGGGATATAAAAGTTGATAGCCATACAAATAACAACTGAAATATTCTGCTCACTTGGGATTATGAGGTTCTACAACAAATTTTTCAACATTATCTAGACATTAATTTGAAGAGCTGCATTTTCTTTTATATAACCTAATCCACACCACAAATGTCATAAAAAACTATATACAGAATTGTAGCTTCATTTTGAAAAAAAGCTTGCTTTACTAGTTAAACTCACTGTTCTATTTTTAAAGGCAAAACCTGCACTCTAAAATATTTTTTCTTCTACTAAGAAGAGTATAAAGCAATCCAGAATTTTATTTATATCTTAAATCTCTGGAAATGCCTCCTCAAACAATCATTCCCTAAAGAGAACATTATTCATAAATCAGCCTATTCTGTTCAATCCAGACAATTTTTAAATTAATCTTTTAAAAGCAAATTAGTGTCTATAGTTTATTTTTTCTTCTTTGGAAGCTATTTTTCATTCACTATAGAGTTCATGTTTAGAATATCCATAAGACATTAATAAAATAGCCTGTTAATTATTTTCCAAATGATTGTACATAATGTAAAGCTCCATCTAGTAGAATAATGCAGGCACATTGTATGTGACACTATTAGCAGATGGGAAAGATTTTTTTCTACATTTAGATATCAACAGAAGTCTCAACATAGTATTATTAGGGGAAAAAATAACCTTTAAGTAATATTAGAATCTTCTTTAAGAATCGAGTTTAAATAGATTAAAACGAAAATGAGAAACCTACCAGGTCATTGCTTGCAGATGTGAGTTTTAGCTTTTCCTCGATTTCCTTTCCAATTTTCTGAACAGTTACCTGAGTCTGTTTAATTGCACATTGGGCTCTATGAAGCCTAGGGGGAAAAAGTTGCAGAAAATTTTGTAAGTTAAATTTTCAACACAGGTTTATGGATATAAATGGTCCTTATAATAGAAAGACAAACTCTGAAGAACAAATAGAAATAATACATGAAAATGGTCTGGTTCTCAATTGCCTCAAATATTTACAATGAAATAACAGGAATTATAACGCATTCTAAAAACAATCTTTCCATAATGGTCTCCCAAATATTGAAAGCTAAAATAAAGAACTCAGAGGAGTGTGAAAGGGATAATCTGGATTCTTTCCTTTTTTCTTCATTCATATATTGTGTGTTATACAATCATTGCTATGCACTATGGTTTTTACAATATATAATTAATTACTTTTGATCAATGTCTTCTATCACCTAGTCTCATCAAATACCCATTGAATCTTGACTATTCCTTCACCCTCTGCTATCTATCCACTTATCTCTGCAGCCCCAGTGGATTTGAACCTCCACCATCTTTCTTCCAGCCCTCTTCTCCTCATCTCCTTCCCTTTTTGAACTGTTCTACAGATCCTCTTCCTATTAGCTAATTGCAATAGCCATATTCTTCAAGAAACATTGAAAATAAAGAGCTATTTTTCAATTTTGCTTTAGTTATAGATTTTTAAATATTTTTAAATGAAAATTTTCTTATACATTTAAAAATTACAATGTTATCCTTATTTGCACATGACATGGTTTTTATGCGGGAAATCATAGGCATCATAAGTAACCCAAACATATGTATTAAAACAACTGCCAGAACTAATCAGTTAATTTAATAAGGTCAAAGGATAGACAGCAAATAAATAAATGTGAATTCTATCCTACATTTTAATCATAAAAAAGGAATTCTGGTAGCACAGTGGTCAAGAACTTGGCTAACACAAAGGTCAGCATTTGGAACCTGTAACACCTCTGTGCATTATTCAGGTGACACAATCTTGCTTGCTGAAGTATACAGGACTTGAAACATTTGCTGCAAAAGATCAAAGACTATAGCCTTAAATATGGATGTGAAATCTCAACATCAAGAAGACAAAAATCCTTACCACTGAGCCATAGATAACACAACAAATGGAGAAAAGACTGAAGTTGTAAAAAATTTCATCTTGCTTGGATTCGTAACAACACACTTGGCACTAGCAGTCAAGAAATCAAAAGATTATGGGATTGGGTAAATCTGATGTGAAGTACCTGTCCAAGGTGGTAAAGAGTAATTAGTTTAAAGACTAAGGTACCTGAGATTTAAGTTATGGTCTTTTCAATCACTTGCTATGCATCTGAAAGTTGAACAATGACAAAAGATAACAAAAGGAGAACTGATGCCTTTGAGTTGTGTTGAAGAAGAGCACTGAATAGCTACCTCATGGACTATCAGAAGAACTAACAAAACTGTTTGGAGGACGTGTAATCAAGGTGCTCCTGGAAGGCAAGGATAGTGAAATTTCATCTCAAATACTCCAGGCATGTTGTTAGGAGGAGCCAATTTATGGAAAAGGACATGATGCTTGGAAAGAGAAGACATGAAGCAAAAGAGGGGAAGATCTTCAGTGAGATGGATTGACACAGTGTCTGTAAGAATGGGTTCAGGTATATGAGAGATGATGAGGATGACACAGGTTAGGGCAGGGTTCAGATCCACTGTTCACAGGGTCATTACAAGTTGTGGTCAACTTGACAGCACCTAACAATTGTCTCTGCAGAAAAAAGGTGTTACAGTCTGCTTCCATAAAGATTAACAGCCGTGGAGAACCAATAGGGCAGTTCTACTTTGCTGTATAATATTATTATGAGTCAGAATGGACTTGACAGTAGTAGGCACAAGTAGTAGTATAAGCAGTAGTAGCAGGGAACTTCCAGAAACTCAAGCCAAATTCAGAAGAGGTCATGGAATGAGGGACATCTTTACTGATGTTAAATGGATCATGGCTGGAAAGCAAGGGATACTAGAATGATGTTTATTTGTGATTTACTGACTATGAAAAGATTTTCACTGTGTGAATCATAACAAATTGTAAACAACAATGAGATGAACTGGAACTCTTAATTTATGGCTGTATGAAACCTATATATAGACCAAGAAGCTGTTGTCTAAACAGAACAAGGCAACAATGCACAGTTTAAAATAAGAAAATATGTGCATCAGATTTGTCTCCTCTCTCCATACCTATTCTATCTGTATGCTGAACAAATCATGCAGGAAACTGAAGAAGAATGTGGCGTAAGTACTGGAGGGAGATTCTTCAACAAGCTATATTATGCAGATGACACAACTTCACTTGCAAAAAGAGAAGACGATGTGAAGTACTTATTTAAAAAGATAAAAAACTACAACCTTCACTATGGGTTACATTTAGACATCAAGAAAACAAAAATCCTCAGCACTGGACCAATAGGCAATATCATGATAAATAAAGAAAGGATTGATATTACCAGCAATGTCCTATTACTTGGATCCACAATCAACACACTTGGTATCAGTAATCAAGAAACAAAAAGATTTATTGCATTGGAGAAATCCACTGTCAAGGACCTCTTTTTAAGTGCTAAAGAACAGGATGTCAGTTTAAAGAGTAAAATAAGTGCCTGTCATTGTACCAGTACCATGCTGTTTTGGTTCTGAGGTCAGGGAGTGCTATGCCTCTCCCTTCCTTTTTGTTTTTCAGAGTGCTTTATTTATTCGGGGTCTCTTTCTTCTCCAAATAAACTTCACAATTTCCCTTTTGATCTTCCTGAAAAATGAATTTCATATCTGTATTAGGATTGCATTGAACATGTATATTGCTTTTGGTAGGATTGTCATTTTTCACAATATTGAGTATTCCTATTCATGAACAGGGTACATTTCTTTAGGTCTTTTATTGTGTCTTGCAGAAATGTTCTCTAGCTTTCTTTGTATAGGTCTTTTTGTATCCCTAGTTAGGTTCACTTTCAAGTATCTCAATTTGTGGTTGGCAAAGAGATGGAGAAACTATTGATATAAGAAGATGGTATGATAGTATATTCAGAAAACCCCAAGGACTCAACCAAAAAACTGTTAGAGCTAGTAGGCCAATTTAGAAGAATGGCAAAATACAAGATCAATATCCAAAAATCAGTGGGATTCCTCGACAGTGCAAAGAGAACTCAGAGAAGAAAACCAAGAAAGCAATACCATTTACAGTAACCAACCACAAATTGAAAAACGAACTGATATTTTTGAATTGTGGTATTAGTTATACCAAGTGAATACTGAATATATCATGGACTGCCAAAAGAACAAACAAGTATTTATTATCTTGTCCATTTCTTCCCTTGGTCTGGAGTGGGGGTAATCTTCTATATGTATTGCAATGCTTACCACAGCATCTGGTACAAAAGGGGCATTCAATACTTTTTTTACTAGATGTGTATTAAGGATTGATTATTAAAGCATAATCCCCAGAAGTTATTCTTTTTCATTGAAACTAATAGATTAATAAAAATATCAATGTGATCATTTTCTATATTTTTAAATTTGTCCCATGCAAGCAAGATTCTGCTGAAGATAATCCAAAAATGACTGGAAAAGCACATCAACAGAGAAGTGCCAAAAGTACAGGCTGGGTTTAGAAGGGGTTGTGGTACTAGGGATACTGTAGCTAATGTTAGATGGATCTTGGCTGAAAGTATGGAGTACCAGAGGAATGTCTATGTGTGTTTCATTGACTATGCAAAGGCATTTGACTGCATGGACCACAACAAACTGTGGCTAATTCTAAGAAGAGTGGGAATCCCAGAACACTTGATTGTTCTAATGCAAAACCTACACTTGTAGTTCAAAATTGTGGAGTGTGTACACCAAGGATGTGTTTTACCTCCATACGTTTTCAATCTTTATGCAGAACAAATTATCCAGGAGGCTGGGCTCTATGAGGAGAAATGTGGCATTGGAGGAAGATGCATCAACAATCTGCGTTATACAGATGACACAACCCTGCTTGCTGAAACAGAGAAGTACCTGATCTGCTTGCTGCAGAAGATAAAAGACTGAATCCTTCAATATAGATTGAAACTCAATAAAAGATTCTCATCACTAGGCCGATTGGCAGCATCATGATGGATGATGAAGACATTGAGATTGTAAACAGCTTTAGTTTACTTGGCTCCACAATCAACACTCCTGGCACCAGCAGCCAGGAAATCAAAAGACTCATAGAGCTGGGGAAAGTCTGCTGTCAGAGACCTCTCCAAAGTACTGAAGAGCAATGATGTCAGTCTGGAGACTAAGGTGTGTTTGATATAGGCCATGATCTTTGCACTCACTTGCTATGCATCAGAGATCTGGACAATGACTAGGGATGATAGAAGGAGAATTGACGTCTTTGAGTGGTGGTGTTGGAGAAGAGTGTTGAATATACCATGGATTGCTAGGAGAATGAACAGATTTGTCCTGGAGAAGGTTAAATCAGGTTGCTCCTTGGAGACAAGGAATCTGAAGCTTCGTCTGCCATACTATGGACATGTTGTAAGGAGGGACCGGTTCTTGGAGAGGGACATCAAGCTTGGGAAGATGGAGGGAGACAGCACAGGCGAGGAAGACCCTTGATGAGATGGATTGACTCAGTGAATGTGGTAATAGAGGTAGGTGTGTTAGAGACAATAAGATTGGCGCAGGATAGGGTAGGGTTTAGGTCTACTGTACAGAGGGTTGCTATGAGTTGCAGGTGACTCGACGGCTAACAACAATAACAACCTCCAGATGGTACAATTTTGCTTGCTGAGAACAAAAACCACCAGATGCACTTAATGATGAAAATCAAAGACTATATAGAGTTTTCAGTGTGAACTGCTCTAAAATATAAAGAAAATAAAAATTTTCTAAACTAGTCCAACAAGTAACATCATGATAAGTGGAGAAAAGACTGAAGTTGCCAATGATTTCCTTTTCTTTGGAGCCACAACACCCTATGGAAATGGCAGTCAAGAAATAAAGCAATGTGTTTATTGCTCTGGGCAAATCTGCTAGGAAAGGCATATTT